GAATACAGTTTACAGATGTCAAAAGGTACAAAAATTACATTTCCAGGGTGTTCTAATTACTTTAACATTCTGTTCTGATCAACAGTCACAAGCCAATACTTTCCTTAGTAAAATAAATTCCATTACTCATTTGCATAAATATGCATGTCACATATGGCATTTTATATCTGAGAAACCAATGTTAAAGTACAAAATTTCCTATTACATAACTATTAAATTCTCCTGGTAATTACATGTTTAATTTCCTATAATCTGGTTACATAGTTTGAAAGTTTGTTTTTATTATAGAGAACCCTTAGTTCATCTCTGTTTTAAGAGTCTAAAGCAATCCCATTAGGAAGGCAGAGACAGATCTCTGTGAGTTCAAGGCCAACCTGATCCACACAGTGAGGTCCAGGACATCTAGGGTTCTAGCCCATAAAACAGCAAAAAAACAAAGTCTAATGCTACCTATTAATCTTTTGTCTAGTAGTCCACCTAGCAAGCTATTTTCCACCTGCTCTTATTTCTCTCTTTAACTTGGGACTGCAATACACTTATTGTAATAAAAATGTACCTTATTATTCATATATCACTTTCCTATATATGAAATCCTGCCTATAGATCACTTTCCTCCAATACAATTTAGGCATAATATTACAGCTATTTCAAGTGACACACAAAGCATAAATTTAATCATTTAGAAATAAAACTGGATCCAAGAGTAACCATTAGCTTAATGCATTATTTTTAGAACCCTATGTACCAAGCCTAGTCTTTTTCACGTAGACTCTTGCTGGATAGCACAGGGAGACCTTCAACTATACAGCTCAGGGCCAGCCTCAAATTCAAGATCCTTCTGTGGACTGGAATTACAGGGTTTTCTTTTTCTTAATTCTGTGTCATTAACACTTTAAAACAATTTGTTGTGTCATAAATGCAAATGGTCATACCTAATTTATTTCTTCATATAAATAGTATACCTTTAATGAGTACTGTTATAAACTAGGTAAGTCTCGATGTTATCATTTGACCTTTATTCTCTTTATTCTGAATTATCTACTTCTTCAAAAACTGTCACTTTACAGCCTCTAAAAAAGGCAACATCAATGTGTCAAATGTGTCTCTCTATGGGAGCCCTTACCTGTTGGGAGGAGTGGATGGGGGTGGACCTGGGGGGGAGCCAAGAAGGAGGCAAGGAAAAGGGGTAGGAGAGAGAACCTCAGTTGGAATGCAAAATGATTTAATAAATAAATGATTAAAAAACAAAATAACATGGCATTCCTGTGGAGGTCAGAGGGCAACTTTGGGGACTAGCGTCTCTCCTTCCCTCACGTGGGTTCTAGACACAGCACTCAGGCTCCGCAGGCTTCCCCACTGAGCTAGCTCCCAGGCCCTCCTCCTTCTCTGTTTCTTCACCCTTTTAAAATCTATCCTGCAGGGCTAGAGAGATGGCTTACAGGTTAAGAGAACTGACTGCTCTTCCTGAGAGCCCAAGTTCAATTTCCAGTTGAAGTTGTCCAGTTGCTAAGGAACTGAGATCCTCTTCTAGCCTCCTTCACCAGACATGAGACCACAGACACATGGGCAAGAGAAACACCCGTATACACAAAGATTAATTAAAAAATCTTGAAATTCCACCCTGATTCTCTGTTGGAATTACCTACAGCAATTGTAAAAAGGCTGTGATTTCAGAAGCACCAGGTTTTTGTACAAACAAAACAATGTATTTGTTTGTAACTTTCAATGTTCTCTACACTTAAAATTCTTAGAAGGCATTTGTGGTAAACACATGAACTCCTAGCAGAAAACAAGCAGAATAATCACATATTCAAGGCTCGCCTGGTCTAGTTCCCTTGGAGAATCGGTTGTTTGCTTATTTTTTTGGTCTTCTGTAATTCCTCCACTACTATCCTGGTGCTAGGAACCAAACCCAGGACCTCATGAGCGCTACCACTGGATAGTCTTCAACACTGGACCTGGTCTACACAGCAAGTTCCAGGCCAGCCAGAGCTACAACAGACATACAACAACAAAAGAATCCTGATCATAAGATCTGTAGTCAGAAATTCAAAGTTGATAGTACAGTAACTCCTCACTACAGTGAAAGGCAACAAACCAACTGTCACAACAGTCATAAATGTAAGAGTTAAAACCCCAGAACAAAAGTCTGTGTTTCAGGCAGACCTGATTCCAAGGCACAATGATTCACTAACTAACGTGTAACACAGGTAAATATGTTCAACACCTCTTAACCATAATTCCTTCAATTCTATTTCTTTCATCTTTTTTTTTCCATGACAGGGTTTCCCTGTGTAGACCTGGCTGTTCTGGTACTCACTCTGTAGGTCAGGCTGACCTTGAACTCACAGAGCTGTGCCTACTTCTGTGTTTCAAATGCTGGGATTAAAGACATGCACTACCACCACCTGGCACAATTCTATTTCTTTAATCTCTATTAGTAATAAATAACCACACTATGCCAAAAGCGCCCCCAATATGTTCTCCATGTACCTATCATTTCAAACATAAATTTAAGTCACATTTCTAGGTGAAGGTAGGCTTATGCTGATAGAAAACTGAGGACCAGGGCAGAAGAGATGGCTGGCGATGCAAAGCCCAGGACCTGAGTTCCGACCTCTGGTGCTCATCTAACAGCCAGCATGGGCATCCCAGCACCGGGAGGCCGAGACAGGAAGATCTGAGGCTCACAGGTTGGCCAATTTTGACAAAATGGTAGAAGTCTAGGTTTATTGAGAAATCCTGTCTCAAAAAATACGAGGAAGAGGCACAGAGAAAAAGACGCTGACCACTGCCCTCCACACACATGCACATCCACACAAATGCACCCAGGGTCAATTTTTAAAAGTTCATAAAAAGGATAACTCACATCTGAACCAGAAGCTTTCTTCATTGCACTCTGCGAAGACTCTCCTTTCTTCCTCTGTCGGAATGTAATCAGCCCCTATGTCTTTTGGAGAAAAACTGGAAGTCATTTTCTTAAAAGTCTGAAAGTTAGCTTTGTCTACTAGTAATAAAAACATTTAAAAACAGATAAACAAACAAACAAACAAAGCGATGAAGTAACTGGCTGGTTAGCTTTTTAAAAAAATGTTGACTTCCAACAGAATTTATTCTTACTACCTGTTAAGACAGGCCGAACACACTGCTAGATGAAAATACTGAAAACCAACCCCCACCCTGCTCAGATAATGAGGAATTTTAAGACTGCAACAAGACACCATCAAAGCAAGGATGAAGCCCTGTGACTGCGCAGACATCACACCCATAAGGCCAGCCCAGCTGTTACTGTTACTCAAGCAACTAAAATTTCCTTACACAGAAAGCGCTACTAATTATAAATATTTAATATGATAGTTACGGGGAATCGGTCTTGGAACTTCAGCATTCGGCTCTCGAAACTCAGCCCTCCCATTCATAGTTCCTGCATCAAAGACATGCATATTCAAACATTGTAAGATATTAGAATAGACTAAGTATCTATAACCAGTCTACCTGCCAGTCAACAAATATTTACTTTAAAACATTAAACTTTGGAAAAATTATTTCATGTGCGTGGATGTTTTGTTTGCACGCCCGGTGCCTGAGGAGGTCAGAAGGTGATGGAGTTGCAGATGGTTGCGATACTGTGATAATGTGGGGACTGGGACTGGAACCAGGCACCCTGGAAGAGCCAGTGCTCTTCATCGCTGAGCCAGGCCTGCAGACCCTGCTTCAGACCGCTACGTTTCAACTACTTGACCCAACTTCATGAGGAAAAAGGTCATAAACTTACTATTTAAACTAATTATTCATGTTCGGTCCTTTAATTGAAAAATAGGTATACAAAAACAGACAAAATTTCTCTTCAGAGGCGACGTTATTTCACATTATTCTGTACCATGGTTCAAAAAACAAAACAAACAACCCCCCCACACACACACAACTATGTCCAAATGGTTGAGGGAAAAAAAGCCATTGCTAGGCTTTCAATTAATCAAAAAAAGAAAAAAAAAAACCTGCATCGTCTCCCATAACTCAGCAGTCAAAAAAAAACAAAAAAAAAACGACGTCACAGTCTCTCTGCAGATAGCTGCTTTCTAACAGCAAACTACTAATCTTCTAATTGTCCCTACACCGGCCGCAAATAATCGTCAAATAAATGCGATTTTATAACCAAGCGCATTCCAGGAACATATACTGATATTTCCTTCGTCTTGTAGACCTCAGGATTTCAGATAACGAGTAATCTCCACGTTTAAACAATCGCATAAAAACGCGGTATGAGATGCACGACGCCAACAGCAAAGCACCTTTCAGTAATTCGTTTAGCGACTAAGAAACTGCATACCCATCCGTCAGAGGAAAGGTTTCATAAATGATTTTTGGGTGGATGAAGCATTCTGAGGAATGCTTCTTAAATCGCAAAACGTATTCTAAAAAAAGAAAGAAAGAAATATCTTCCCTAGAAAGGTTGGAGGGCCATGAGATCAGTCTCAACACTACAGCGTAAAGCGCCTAATTCCAAAAAAAAAAAAAAAAGGCTCAGGCCAAGCCTGGCCGTAGCCGCAGACTCCAGCACTCCTGCCCCGCATCTGTCACCACACAGCGGTCACCGCCGACTTCCCCACCCCTCCCTGCAGGCCCTCGCCGCCCGGGTTCCCCGCGCTGCAGCCGAGCCGAGGCCCACGGCGCGACCCGACACCTTCAGGCAGGAAGATGGCGGAAGGCGCGAGGCGACGGCGGGAGAGGGTGGGAGACTGGCAGACAAGCTGGGGAAAGCTTTGCCATTACACCCACCTCCTCACGATAGAGGTGGCAACGCGGCGAGCACGAGCCCGGGCAGAGGCCGGCGGAGGATCCCAGAGGCAGGGACCGCGAACAACGCCGAGAAGTCACCCAGACACAAGCCCCCGCGGATCGCGACCCGGAAGCATTACCTTCGGCAGGAAATGACGTTGGGCAGTTCTGGGGGTAACTGCCCGAGCCACCTCTCAATCCTCACGGTGTCGGCCCCGCCCCGTCAAATTGGTCCCGCCTCCCAGCACCCCCAGGCTCCAGAGCTGCACTGCGGCTGCGCGGGGTTTGGAGTTGGCGCTGCAGCTCCGCCCTGCCCCGAGGTTCGATGCTCTTGTGAAGTACCGCAGTGATTGTGCTGTGACCGGCCGGTAGGGACGTTCTGGAACCTCCCCTCCCCGCCTCCGCTCATCCCTTTGACTTTTCTTGGCTTTCCCTAACTCTTAAGCTTTACCTAAATCATTTTATTCTTTAGGCCTCTTGTCTACGGAGTGGATTTTAAGCGTGAACACCCAGTTAACTGTCAGAAACTCCGGTCTAGTGGCTGACCCATTCTAGAACCAGAGTCGGGGTACATTCCCACTCGGAGACTCGGAATTTGCACAGCGGAGTGAATAATGCGTCTTTCATCGTTTGGATGAAAACAAGTATGAAAAGGAGTTCAGACTCTCAGACTCTATGAACAGGACAGTGTATTTTAATGTAAGGAGACAGACTTTTGTCCCTCAGACGTCAGACCGCCACCCCCAACCACCAACAATTCATTTTCTTTCATTCGCCCTAGAGATGTTCACTGAGTGCCTATTCTGAATCAAGTACAGAAAGTTTATCGTTGATTGGCAACGAACAGCCCCAGCCCCACCCAGATATGAACTCCGATAAACGTCAGATTTCTCTTTTCTTTCCTCATGTCATTTTTTTTTTCACTGCCTATAGAGTGGCCACAAGCCTGTGCTGTAAGCATATTTAACAAAGACAGCCATGTAAGCACTGATCTAGAGTCATGGCTAGGCTTTTGTGCCTCTTGAGCCTCACACCAATGAGCAACAGCCTGTTTTCTTTGCTGTTTGCTGTGCTGTCCCCACCAATACATACACGGAGACACGCCCTTGTAGATTGCACAGGTTTCAAAACCCTGCCTTATGCCACCTCCTCTGTGAAACCCCAAAACACCAGACAGTCGCGGTTCCTTAGTGTTCACGTTGTACAAACTTCTAGCACGACAGGGTAGCAATGGCAATATGGTATTTTGTTGTTGCTTATTTCTTTCACTGAGACCATTTAGAAACAGCTTTATGAGTATTTATACTCCCACATACTTTAAGATAATCTATATAAATATCCACTTTTCTTACTATGAGGCTAGGACGTCTGCAGTTTCCGCTCTCTCAAGACGTATCCCGTCAAAGATGCTTTCCTTGCTGCCTAATTAAGGTGACTCTCCAGTCACCTTTGTGTGTGACTTTGTTTTTTTCTTTTCATAGCATTTTCCATGACCTAAAATTGTTCGTGTGTTCTGTCTCTGTCTTTCCCCTCCTCAATGAAATGAAAGGTCCATGAAAGAAAGGAACCATGATAGTATAGCATCAAACTTATTATTGTATAGTATAAAATCAACAATATTAATTTCTCTACTGGATTTATTGGGTGTATTTTTATAATATAAAAACAAATATAAGAAAACTAGGAAACAGAAGAGCACAGAAGAGCTTTTTCTTTGGAAATAGATTCCCAAACATTCAAATTATACTTCCCTTTCCTTTCTTTTTCTTTTCTTCTTCTTCTTTTTTGTTTTTGGTTATTTGTTTGGTTTGGTTTGGTTTTTTGAGACAGGGTTTCTCTGTATAACCTTGGCCATGTATAGCTTTGGAGCCTGCCATGGAATTCATTCTGTAGACCAGACTGGCCTTGAATTCACAGAGATCCGCCTGCCTCTGCCTCCTGAGAACTGGGATTAAAGGCATGCCCCAATACCACCTGGCTTTCTTTATTTTTCAAACTAAAATTTTATATCGGGTAAACTGTTACTTTGCAGTTGTGCTGACATTTAAAGGTTATTGGGCCTTTTGATAATTTGTTTTGATACACTAAAATAATTCAAGCATAAATTAAGATACAAAGTTTTCCTGGAAGTCGATGGTCTTTGGATGGAGAAAGGCTATAGAACTTGTCAGCCATCTGAGACCTTTGGTACACTCACCTTAAACTTCAAAATCACCAGAAAGCATGGTTCTTAGGTTAAGTTAAAGCAATACTGATGTGGAACCCTGTGCTTAGGCATGAAAGCCATGGGTTCTAGCCTTAACATCAGAGTGCTGTGGTTTACCCACTGGTTACCCTCAGAAGGCTGGTTCCACTAAAGTGCCCTCCTGGAAGTGCAGAGAGCTCAGGAGGCACCTCACTTCCTCAAAGATACATAATTGGGTTTATATGCTTGGGGCAAAAATACTATAATCCAGTGATATAGCTGCTGGCCAACTACCCATCATTTTGAAAGTCACTTTAATTAAGCTTTTTAGTTCACCTAGCTGGCCTTGAGTGGAATCATTTCTTCCATCTGCTGTGACTCTCTGAGATGACTAGGAAGACACACCCCTGGGAGAGTCACTTGAACACTCTTCCAGATGCCTGCCCTGAGTGAGCATCCGATGAGACTTCACCCTGTTTTTACCTGTTAGACGTTACTTTTTGTTTTCAGACCACACTTTGTTTGCTTGTTTGTAAATATTTATTTTTGTTTATGTGTGTGGCTGCGTGAGTTTGTGTGTACCACGTGTGTGCAGGAATTGGAGTTACAGGCAGTTGCAAGCTGCCTGATGTGAGTGCTGGGAATTGAACCCAGGTATTCTGAAAGAACAGTGAGTGCTCTTAGTCTCTGAGCCATCTCACCAGCCATGTTAGCCGGTGACCAGCTTGAAACGATTATAAAGGAACGATTCAGAGGATTACTTAATTCGTATAAATGCAACCAAACTAGTAAATTGCATTTTGACTTCAGTGACATCTTTCTCTGTTTAGCTGAACTCTGTTTTAATTTCTATTATTTTTGAGTATATGGTGTGTGTTGCAGCACTTTTCAGAGGTCAGAGAATAACTTTTGGGAGTCAGCTCTCCTTCCACCTTGGGGTCAGGGGATCAAGCTGATGTTGTCATACTTGTGTGACAAACACTTTGACTTGCTGGATCATCTTACCATCACTGGATGGACTTTTGGAATTCAAAATTGAAATTATTATTGTTGAATTTGTGTGTGTGGTTTATGTATATGTCTGTATGTGTATATGGAGGGGCACATTTGCATGTGCATGCATGTTTAGAGGCCAGAAATTGACTATGTGTGTTTTTCTCTCTACACTTCACCTTATATAATAACAATTAATCGATGTGTTTGCATTTGTGTTCTATGAGGACAAGTATTCCTTCTTAGTTCATAGACTACAGAGTGTCCAATTACAAGAAGTAATTACAGAAGTCTAATATTTCCATGCCTTTGGTATATAATAAACTTTGTGTGTTCTTTTCCCTGGAAAAGAAGAAAGGAAAGAATTAGAAGTCCTTCAGAGTGGGCTTTATGCTAATGCCAAATCTGGTTTTTATTTGCCTATTAATGAACCTTGGAGATTTTCATTGTTCAAAAAAAAATGCAGTGTTATAGAAGCCAGAAGGAAAGAATATTCCAAAAAGGAGGATATGTAGTCAAAGATAGCAAATGCTGATGAGGACTGGAATCATGCATTAACTGTATCAATAAGGTTATTGATAACTTTTACAAGTATCATTTCATTCATATCTAAATTATAGGGTGGGGCAAAAAAAATCCGGATTCCAGTGGACGGGGAAAAGAATGGTTGGGGTTGATGTGTGGAAAAGTATATTTTTCTCTTTCCAGAACTTTAGCTGCTTGGAGAAAGCAGACATAAATGGTAGCTGAGGGAGAATGCAAGAAAGAGGTGAAGGTTGGGTATTGTTTTATAATTCTGTACAGATTTGGTTCTATTAACAAATGTAAACAACAAATAAAGAGAAGGATCAAAAGTATGGAAAAGGGGAAATAGGAGGTAACGGGCTGCCAGGAGTGTGTTCCTATACTCTACAAGCTTCTGTGCCTTCACACCGCCCTTGGGCAGAACACCTGTGTCGGCATTTTCAACAACTTTTGACGGGGACTTCTAAGGGTTGCCAGAAGGAAACAAAGACTAACGGCGTGTTTCTGCATGTTATACTCTCCAGGTGATGCTGGGGGAGAATTCAGTTTTATTTTTGTCCTCAGTTGCAGAAAATTCAGTCAAAAAGTCTATTGCTGCCCGCAACTGAAAAGGAGCTTCTAAGGCGCCTAGAAAAATACGCTACATTCTAGATGTCCTGGTTACGAGAACTGACGCCAAGAATTGCTTGGTGGAAGCAAGAGGGGCCTTCATGGAAGCTGCTGCTGCAGCTGCAAGGGATGTCCTAAGGAGCCTAAAGCTCAGCCTTCATATTGATTCCACTCCCGGCTATGTAGCTGGGGTCAGGGGTGGGGGTGGGGTCGCTCTAACAAGGCGGTGTACAGCTCCATTATTATTTTGCCATTCCTGAAATATAAAGTGCATATGGATTCATAATTTCTTTGGGTTTTCATGATATTTATGTTTGCTAATAAGAAGAAAGACTTTTGAGTTTGTAAATGTTGGCAAATTGCCATTTTAAATATTAGATGATTATTGTATTCAGCATGTCTATGGAAAAGAACCATCGAGAAATCAGATGCCACTATGAGTACTATTGGTCAGGGAACTTGAGAAACAGCTTGTTGGGATATAGAATCACCTAGACCCACATATGGATGTGTCTGTGCAGGAGTGTGCACTGTGAACTCTAGTGCACATGAGCACGAACACCGCACACGCACACGTTTTAAAAAGAAGCCATTTTAAAAGGGCAATGTAAGTCGTCTAATGTTGAAAGTATTTCAGTTTTTATCAATATTGTTTGTTGATATTTCCTTGTTTTTACTTTATCTTCGGCATGTAGGGTATTATGGTCAAACATGAATTTGTCCACTTTGTTATAATTGTGTATGGTCAACTCTTTGTAAAGTGTTAGGGAAAGAGAGTTTCTTCCACATCGAAACGAGTCTGTATCTCAGAGAACTATTTTCACTCTAATGCATAATTGAGAAGAAAGCTCTCCTGATTAGCCATCTCTCACTCTTCCTGTGTGACAGTGACTTACTTTCAGGCAAGCAAGGAGAAGGAGGAAAGAAAAAAATCCTCCGCAGGAGGTGCTCCTGGCTGCAGTGCCCCCTCTGCTGTCAATCAGTCAGGGAACCATCTGTCCCATTTTAGATTTCTGGAGCCACCAAGCACATCTGCTGTGTCTTCTCTAACGTCACGTGTAGAACCTACTGGAAGCTGTGAAATGAACGAGGAGAACCAGAGTCATCTGCACGAAGCTGAAGCTGGGTCCGTCTCAGTTCAGGGGGAGAAACTGAGACTAGAACCACCAAGTGAATGGTTCCTGTCGTAACTCTAAGGTGTGAGGTTTAAAATTCAAGCCCACTGTAAATATTCAAGTTATTATTCACACGTTCCTCATTTTTGTTTTGTTATTTTTGCTGTTTCAATTTTATTTCACAGTCCATGAAGGCTTTTTATTTATGTTTTACATCTCTAGAAAAAGAATCCCGGGATTTTCCCTCCTGTGTGTTTTCGTCTTGCTTCTTCATGGTCCATGAAGCCAGCTGAGGTTGTCAGTACAATAAAGCTATGGAGGAAAGAAATATGCCAAACTGACAGGATGGGAGCAGATTGTTCTGCCACACTTGTTCAACCTGCCTGTAAGGTTCCCGACGATCTTCCCAGCTCCGTAGCCATCAGGGATTTCAGATTCACTAGTGTAACCGTGCTTCATCATCAGTTAGGAACCGAATGATGACTTTGGCGCAGGACCTGATGAGGACCTGGCTTTGCCTCTCTTCTCAGCGTTGTTGATGCTCTTGAGAGCATCACCCAGTACGTTCATGCGCACCACCATGACAGCGTGGAAAGATGGCGGAAAGAAGCGCTGTTTAGATTTTTGAGACAGAATCTCATATAGCTCAGGCTGGCATATAACTCACTATGAGGGTAGCCAAGGCTAGCCTCAAACTCCTAATTCTCCTACTTTCACCTCTCAAATGCTGAGTTTATAGGCATGTACCATCACACCTGTCTTAAAAATTTGAATTTCATTTTTGTTTTTTGTTTGTACAAATTCAACCCAGGGTATTAGGCATTCTAGGAAAGTGCTATACCATTGAGCTAGTTTATCCTAAGAAAAAAATTTCAGGGGCTTGGATCCAGAACCCAGTGCTTACCAAGCATGTGTGAAGATCTGTCTCCAGCTGTACATGGTGGCAGAGGCTTCCAATCCCAGTATTTGGGAAGTAGATGCAGGGCATCAAAAGTTCAAGGTCTCCCTTGCCAAAACAGCAAGTTGGAGCCTGGCTTCAGATAACACAGGACCCTGTCTCAGAAGAAAAGAGGGCTGAAGAGATGACTCAGTGTTTAAGAGCACTTGCTGCCTTTAAAGAAGACCCAGGTTCAATTCCCAGTACCCACAACTGTCTGTAACCACAACTGGCTCATAACTGTCTAACTCTAATTCTAGGCACACGAGGTACAAATACACAAATGCGAGAAAACATTCATGCACATAATACAAAAAAATTAAACTTAAAAAATAGGAGAAAAGAAAGAAAGGAAGGCATTAAATCTACACAAAAAGGATTTGTAAAACTTCAATGCAAGAGCCAAGATCTGTCTGGAAGCAAGTTTGTTGCCTGCTTGCAGAGATGTGACTTGCAGAGCCTGGGACCGGAGATCTAAAATATTAATACCCTCAGGCGAATTTCTCTATATAAACCTCAAGCTGACCAAAGGCCAAATATAGCATTTACTTCTCTGTCTCAGAGGGCAATGGGGCTTCTCACATTGCTGTCATCTGATGGCATAGAATTTAAGAGCTAATGACCGAGAGCACCGACTCAAGGGCACTAGTTCTGGCTGCATGCTTATACAGTCGGAAAGTTCCGTTTTGCTCAGATTTAGCTTCCGTAGCTTTATCGTGTGCCTTCATGATAACACTTACCAAACCACAAATATTTATTTACTTGGTTTTTGCCAGCAAAGGGACTTTCCCCATTGTGTTTATACCAACTGTAGCATGTGTATTTGACAATTAAACACTGTTCGGTTAAATGAAAAGTCCTAGCATGTAATTGAACAGTCTTCATCAGATATAGTCAAAAGTTGTTGGCTCTCGTCGCAACATCTCCCTATTTACCTGAGCTGCTTATTGTCCTTTTCCCCTGTTTTTGTGTGTAGCTTTTCTACAAGTGAGGGGTGGATCCCAGCTTCTCCCAGTTACTCAGCTTCTACCCACGCTGTCCCTGGTTTCTTTTCTCTTTTCACTGTTGGAAAATTCCCATCAGCTTATATATGAGCCATATTTATGAGGCAAAATAAATATGAGCCAAAATAAATAAAAAATTATTTTATGTGTTTTACCTACATATATCTATGTGCACCACATGCATGCCTGTTGCCTCTGGAGGTTAGATGAGGGTGTAGGATCCTCTGGAAACAGGGTCACAGAAGGGTGTGAGCCGTTGTGGGTGCTGGGAACTGAACCTGGGTCTTCTGCAAGAGCAACAAGTGCTATTAGCCACTGTTCCATCTCCCCTGTCCTCTTACCAGAAACCCCCCAATCTCTTTGGACTCCTCTAGTTTTACTTAATAGCTTTTTCTATGTTAAAATTCACTCAAAGAATTCTTTGCACTTCCTATTCTCAAGCATTCTCCCAGTCCTTCAGGGCTTACACCAAACCCACTTTTCCCCTCGAAAAAGTCTCTGCTAAGTCCCTTGCTCAGTTCTCCACGTGTGTGTGTTTTATCCAGGGTAAAGTCTTGAAAAGAGTTGCTCAGTCCCTCTTAAAACATTTTTTTTCTTATGGTCCCAAAATATCTTACTTTCACTTTCTCCCTCTCCTCTCTGACATGTGAAAAATAATTTAAATTAGTCTTTTAAATTTTTTTGTGTGATGTTACAGGTGTGTATTGTGTGCTGTGGGGAGGTTACATGCCACAGCGCATGTGAAGGTAGGGAGACAATTTTCTCTCCATCTACCCCATGAGTCCTGGGGACCCACCCAGAGTCATCAGGCTTGGTGGCAGGCTCCTTTACTGGCTGAACCATCTTACTGGCTCAATGATTATTTTTTCCAAAAGAATCAGAACTACATAGACTTTGTTAGTTGGGACATTTTTTTTTAAATGGACAGGAAACTTTCTAGTAAACTGTGTACATCTTTCTCAAACAAATGCAATGTAAGCTAAAGAGGTAGCTCGACAAGGATTCAAGGTGTTTGTGAGCTGTGTCGTCCCCACATTAGCTGTCTGTTGTGTAAGAAATTATCCCAGCCTGTAATAGCTTAAAACAATACATTCTTATGTGGTGGTTTGAATGGGAACGGTGCATATATTTGAATGCTTCGTGCTCAGGTAGTGGGACAGTTTGGGAAGGATTAGGAGGTGTGTGGAGGAAGTGTGTCACTGGCAGGATGGTGGGGGGACTTTGAGGTTTTCAAAGCCTATGCCATTCCCAGTTCTCTCCCCTGCCTCGCTCTCTGCCTTGTCCTTGTGGGTAATTGAAGTTCCCAGCTCCTTCTCTGCCTGCTACCATGCTCCCTGACATAATGGTCATGGGCTCACCCTCTAGAATCATGAGTCCCACATGATTTCTTTCTTTAGTTGCCTTGGTGTTTTGCCACAGCAATAGGAAAGTAATTAAGAACATCTTATTTTCTCCCAGATTTGGATGGCCAGGATTGTGGAGTTCGCTAGGTATCTGGCCCAGGCTCGGGGTGTCCTAGGAGGCTGTATAGAGATGGTGGCTGGGGTTGCACCTTTTGCACTGCGTGGTCCCCTTTCAGAGCAGCTACTCATGAGATCCTGACAGAGTTGGATTCCCTCCCTGAAAGATGCTTAATAGTTCTCCTGATCAAGCCTAGACAGTGAGTGAACAGACAGCTGAGGAGAAACCATCTATGGGCCTTACAGCCTGCTAGCAGAGGTCACTTCATATCATCAGAATCAGTCACTAAGTCCAGCCACACTCAGAAGGGGGGGGGGCTTAAAGTTTCTCCTTTTTCTCTTTAAAAGAGGTTGTTGTTGTCATACAATGTATTTCAGTCATATGCACCCCAGCTCCTACTAGACGGACCTTCCTACTCCTCCCAACTTTATCCTTTTTGTTCTTCTTTTAAAAATATTGTTGTTACACATATATGTAATAATTTTTAATACAATTTTAATGCATGCCTGTAAACATACAAATAAAACATACTAAGTCAGTTTGGTGTTTAGAGCTGATAACTTGGTATTGGATCATCATTTAGAGGGCTCATCCCTGGAGAAGACTAATTCTCCTTTCTCAGTAGTCACTAATGACCTGGAGCTCCATCTAGGGGTGGGGCCTTGTGAGCTTTCCCCCATTCACACTGACATGTCAACTGGTGGTGGTATTCAGGTCTTGTTAGGACCCATACTGTTGAGATTTCATGGGTAAAGCTTCCCTGTCCTATATAGAAGATGCAATCTCACAACAGAGTTCTTCTGGCTCTTAGAATCTCCCCAAACCTTAGGCATTTAGTTGGGGCGAGGTACCCCCCAGTCAAGTTGTTCTCTGCATTTTGACCAGTTATGTGGTTCTGTCACGATCTCTATCTGCTGCAAAAAGAAGCTTCTTGGATGAGGGTCAGAGCTAAATTTCTCTGTGGTCTAAGGAGAAGTGTGTAGAATGTATTAGGGATTTTATTGGTTTAGAAAAGTGGCAATAGTAGCTCTCATCTAGGCTCCATGTAGTAGCAAGCATGAGTGACCTACTGCTGAGAAGGAAAGACTACCAAAGGCTTTGTGGGTGTGTTTCCACATTTCCCCCTGTAGCCCTGGAGCGGCCTTGAGCTGTTCTTTGTCTATCCATCTCTTGTCCAAATTCCTTTTTTTTTTTAAATGAGGACGTCGGGTTTATTAGATTAGAACATACCCTAATGATTTAATTTTAGTTTGATTACCTCTGTAAAGACATCATGTCCTAATAAGGTCATATGCTGAGGCCTTTGGAGGGTACAGTTCAACCCATAAGTGATAGCATATTTATGTTCACAAGAGGCACTGCCAGATGAATGAGAAAGCATGCAAAACTGGAAATACCGAAATGATGTTGTGAGAGGTCACTTCGCAAATTAGGAACCGGTTGAACACTAAACATGTTAAAATTAAAGAAGTTCATATATAGCATAAGCATAAAATATACTAATTCCAAATTAAAAAAAAAAAAAGCTATCACATACCCCGAGAGGATCTACCATGCCATAGCAAACATTCATGCTGTTCCATCTGTCATCCCTGTTTCTTTCTTATTTTGGTAGCAGTGTCTTGACTTTTCTTTGTTTACTTTTGTTTTATATGGAAGAGGAATCTAATTCTATTCTCG